ATATATATATATATATATATATATATATATATATATATATATATATATATATATATATATATATATATATATATATTATATATATGAATGTGTTTGTGGAACCATGTCTGGAATATTATAAACTTGTGGTAAGGATTTCTTCAGACATAAAATTAACTATATATTTGTTAATATCCAAACGTTTCGCCGGTTAAGGCTTCTTCAGTGGATAATAGGATCTTAATATTGCTACTAACAATCTACTGAAGAAGCCTTAACCGGCGAAACGTTTGGATATTAACAAATATATAGTTAATTTTATGTCTGAAGAAATCCTTACCACAAGTTTATATATATATATATATATATATATATATATATATATATATATATATATATATATATATATATATATATTATAATACACACACATACACATACACATATGATATATACAAATAACTAGGAAGCATGTCGTTGTCCAGCAATTGATTTAAATGAGTGAAGCGACTCGGCCAATTTTCCTTCGTTTGGGAGTTGATTCCAGAGCATAGCTTTTAAAGAAATCCTCGTTTCGGCTTAGGAATTGTTAGCTCAGTTGCTGTATTTCGAAGATGATAATTAGTTTGATCTATTTCTCTTCTCACGAAGGACCCACGGAGATCCGGCGCAGTGTGGTCATTAAGTATTTTACACATTAATACTGACTTGGCACCAGACCGTCTATTTTCAAGTGTGTCCCAAGAAAGCATGTTGAGAAGATCAGCTGAGCGAGTATGATAATTAGCACCAGTTAGGACTCTTGGTGCACGAGTCTGACTGACCGCCTTAACTCTGATCCAAATACTGATAAGTTATCCAACGTTGTCGTTTTACACCCTAAAGACCGAAATACAAACAACTTGTCAATTTGTATTTCAGCTGTGGGACTTGGCTCATGGAAATGAAATTACTAGTATTGAAGGCGATAAACAATCTCGGTTAGTTCGCTTCAGTCCTGACGGAGTAGTTGTCATAATTGGATGCAAGAACGATCGCATTTTTATCTGGGATTGGCAGAACTATGATGTGCCTATCAAATGTATTATCTTACCCGCGTTTACGACCATGGAAACAGCATGCGACAGGAACATGATTTACACGTGCAGTAGAAACAACGATGTTTGCCAATTTGATCTGGGTTCGCTTCAACCATCAACCATCAGCCAGGGTCCCAATCCAACTTGTACTTCCATGGTTATATTACCGGACGGGGAAGCTATATTGTCTGGGATTACTACATACAGTGTATTTATCTATTGGGAACTTTCATCCTGGCGTGAAATCCGATATAATGCAGGTACCATAGATTTAATATATGCAGCATGAGTGACTGTGTACAAGGTACTGTACATCGCGCCCTGAGGTACACCAACACGAAAGGCGAGTGGTTGTATATCTTATTACAACACAAATTGGACCGTTGTGTCAGACGTTCGTGTTCTCTGATAATCTTAATCTTAAAGACATGAATGATAGTGGTGAGAAAATTAACTTAAAGTTTAATATGTAAATCAGTAGGAATTTGTATCAGATATACGAGCTCCTTCACGGTCATGATTTTTTCTCATAAATTATTAAAGAAATTAATTACAAGTACTGCTTACAAATTTTAACTACTAAAAATTAGTATAGGTAATCATGCGATGGCGAGTACAACTAGGGATTAATAGTACGAGTGATGTTTGGAAATTTTTCCAATTTGGCAAATTTCCAAACATCACGAATACTATTAATCCCTAATTGTACGAGCAACAACGCATAATTACTTGTTTATTATTAGTATTACAAAATTGGATACTTATCAATGTCAACATCACATTCTCTCGCCAAAGCCCAGTCCTGCCATACTTTCAACCAAAATTTGGTGCATTTGTTCGTATTTTAATTTAGTTCTTTTGTTAAAGCAAAATTTGGTGCTTTTGTTCGTATTTTCATCTAGTTCCTCTAGGGCAATTTCATTTCACATTTGTGTTTAAAATACGTTTCTACCATTTTGTTTGTTTTGGGAAAATCATTAATGTATTGCAGTACAATTAATGAAATAATTGTACCCCTCTCAACCCAATCAGCATCCAGTAATTTTGTCATGCTAATAATAAATGTAGATATTGACAAAGTTAAACTTTCATGTCGTTCACAATGGAAATCATGACCGTGAAAGAGCTTGTTTATCTGCCGATTTACGTATTAAACTTTTCTCGTCAAATATCTTTCATACCCATTTTCCTCAAGACGAATCACAAGCTCTATACAGCACTCGCATTCATGTTGAATAAAATATATAACTACGTCGACTCGTGTTGGTTTATTGCATATAACACGGGCGCATTATATTGAGCACGCATGGTACAGAACATATTGATTGTAGTCCCTAATTACAAGGGAGTTCCATTTTCGAGCACTTTAAACTGAAAATATTTTACCACCTTCAGATCATCCTGATGATTCCATTGTTACTGCAATTGACATCACGTCAACTGGTAAACTGGCATTGTCCGGGAGCAGTTCAGGAACTATGTCGCTGGTGAACTTGGAGAGCTCTAATGTCGTTCAGACGTTTGCAAATGACCAATCTGGAGTTGGCATACGCTTGGTTAGCGTATTAAGAAATGATGCAAGTTTTGTATTTGTCGACGAGGCAAATAAAGTCGAATTCAGAAATTTTGATGATGGAGCTGGGTTAGTATTGGGTCAACCAGCTGCTAAAGTGACCAGCGTTACTCCACTTGGTTTGAACCATATCTTGTTTGGCTGCGAAAATGGAGAACTATTATTGCTTGATTATTTTGAAGGCATTAACAATGAGTATAAGCATCAAGCTCACAATGAAGCTGTCACTCAAGTTAAAAGCCACCCGAGCAATGATTTTCTCTACTTTGCATCTGGATCTGCCAGTGGGTCTGTGAAACTTTGGTATGTTACCAAAACTGTGCCGCTAGTGTGGAGCCAAATGTGGTCACATGACAACGTACACCCGCATCCAATTACCGCCCTAACCTTCGTCCCCCACTCCGAGGATGTTGTGAGCGGTTCCTATGGTAACGAGGTATGTTACGATATCGTATGTTGTACATGCAATGAAAAATCTGGAACAAATTGTTATTATCTTGTAACAAGGTTGATAAACAGACTCGCAACAGGTTGTTCCAACAAGTCTGATATCGTTTGCACGTAATAACTTGTTACGAACAGCCTGTATTAATCTTGTTGGAAGAACTTGTAGCAAGTCGGCTTCTGTCATCAACCTTGTAACCAGGTGATAAAATCTTGTCACAACAACTGCATGGGAACAAGCAGTGCCAACGCATCCTGATATCGGCTTGACAACAACCTTGTTACAAGTTGTTGTCTGATCTGCAACAACTTGCGCGTTTTTACATGTGTATAACATGTGCTATTAATAATCTCTATAACAACTAATCTTCCCTGACAGGTTCACAGAATAAACGCTACGGGAATTGTGCGTACGTACCGGTATAAAAGTTACGGAATCACGGCTCTGCGTGTGGTGGGCAACTTACTCGTTGCCGCGTGTATTCGTGGCTTTAGTGTGGTAAAATGGAGTTTGACCGAAGGCTTGGTGACTAAGTCAGTCCACGGTGGTGCTGGGAGAGAACAAGTATCACGTATTAATTATGCTTCTGATCATGTGGCCTCCAAAGGTTAATAATGATTTATATTATTACGCATTGCCTACAAATAATTCTTGATATTGTGTAATTATGACATCACATCTGCAGATAATAGGTTTCTACATGTAAATATGACGTCAACCCTGCAGAGAATAATCGCAACGCCATGGCGAGATTTGCCTCGGCAACTGAAAGCGATGTATAAAAATAGGTACGCAGCGCCTACATGTGACTACCACTCTGTCTGTGTCACCTGAGTGGTATCATGGATTTAGCTGGTAGAATAGTGCTAATCAGTTGTTGTAGTGTACCTGGAAAGCGTGTAGAACTGGCGAAGAGAAAAATGTTAAGATTAGCTGAAAACACACTGTTCAGAGCAAATAAAACAACTTCGGATACTTTGTCGCTTTACCTAAATGTTGCCCAGATAATTTTGTGATCACTAAAATAAATTTCTAAAATGCCTGAATGCCTGTTGAGACGTTTTGCATGTAAGCTAAGCTAAAGTTTCAGCGGGCTGCATGCATTAGAAGAAAGCATGTGTTGTGGCAATGACTCACTAGTTTAATAATTACTGAACCTTGAACAATTTAAATATTAATTTTCTATAGGCATTGTGTCGGAACATTTATAAGTCAGAGTAGAACGGTAGATTAGTTGTTGTTGTAATAGTTCGGTACGTTTTCTACCGTTTCTTATCTGTAATACGAAAACGTTCAACGAATAAAAATTATTAAGAGACGCGTGAGGAACAAGCCAATTTTAACGTGTGTACAGTACTATAACGAAAACGGGAATGGCTAAACGGCCGTAACATTAGTAGAAAACTAGAACTGTAAACCGAGACAACATCCGCGATATGCAACGCCGATTACAACGTCAAACGATAAAATGTCGACCTATATACATCGACTGATATGGATATTGAACTTGTAGATAGTGGCGACGAAGAACGAGGCCGAAGGCTACGGAAACCTACATCAAAAGGGAAAGCTTACAACGTACAACGAAAGCGCAGAACCTGTATTAACGTTCAGACGAAGATAACGAAGCACATAAATAGGATAAACTTAGTTACTTGTAGCTATGATAATTGTCATATTATTAAGCAAGAGTTGGGTGTACTTGTCGCCTTAAACGCCGAATTAAAGGAAGCGTTTCAATTATGGCGTATGGAGTTAACAATGGAAGAAGAGATAGCTGATGCGTTGGCATGGTATGACGAACAATGCGAAAGAAATTCTCGTTTCACGATTGAAATCGAACAATGGATTACCAGTGCGAAGCAAAATATTGAAGAACAAATGGACAAAAGATCTTTTAGTTCGCGTCATTCGTCCAGAACTAAAAGCAGCAGTTTTTCGGAGAGTTCAAGCCAAGCAAGAGTTAAAGAACGACGTAAAGTGGTTGAGTTACGCGCTAAAGCTGCAACGCTTGAAAGAAAAAGGAAGCTTGAAAACGAGGCAGAAATACTACGTTTGGAGGAAGAAATTGCGATAGCTGAGGGTCGAGAAGAAATGCTTTTGAAGTTTGAGCAAGAGATGAGCCTGAAAGACGGTATGAATCAATATCACGAACAGTATGCGAAATCTAACTGAAAACGCCTTATGACCTAATGACTCCGTCCTGTACAGCTAATATTCCTTCTACGTCATTCGCCCCGAATATTCCTTTACGTCATTCGCCCCGAGTATTCCTTCTACGTCATTCGCCCCGAATATTCCTTCTACGTCATTCGCGCCGAGTATTCCTTCTACGTCATTCGCCCCGAATATTCCTTCTACGTCATTCGTCCCGAATATTCCTACGTCATTTACCCCGAATATTCCTTCTACGTCATTCGTCCCGAATGTTCCTTTTACGTCATTCGTTTCGAACATTCCTTCCACACCATTTGTCTCAAATATCTCTGGAACAGTGTTTCCTGCGAAGACACAGGCGTCGAGGTTCACTCCCAATGTTCGTGCACCTATATTCACTCCAAACATTCCTGCAACAAATGCTGCAAGCAAAAGATCCGTGACTTTTGTCAATGAGCATCGGCAGAGTCTTCCAACATACTCACCACCGTCGTTTTCACAAACCGATTCAGCATCACCTATTATTACCTCATCCTACCCTGGTTTGCGTCATACCAACCCTGGTCCTCGTCTGTCGCCAAGAGTCACTAGTACACCCTGGGATCAAACCATTTCTACGCAAGCAAGGATCAGCAACGAACCATCCGTTGTCTATCAACCATCCTTTGAATCAAGAATACCGGTACCTTTACCGACAACTGCTAACCGTGCGCAACCGGAAGCATGGGAACAAGCTAGTCAAGTGTCGATTCCAAGAACCAATGAAGACCAGTTTGGCGTGTTGATCGAGAAACAGTGCAACCTTACCGAGAAAATCATGCAACAAAATCAACGAAGTCTTATTCCACGTCTTGCATTGTCTAAGTTCTCTGGAGACCCCACAGAGTACAATATTTTCATTCAAGGTTTTAACTCGCAGTTCCATAATAAGCTGAACTCTAACTCAGATCGTTTACGATATCTAGATCAGTACCTCGAAGGCGAAGCTAAAGAATTGGTCAAAGGATGTCATTACATGGATCCTGACATTGGTTATGCAGAGGCGAGAAGGCTGATTGACGAGAAATATGGTGATCCGTACAACATTTCTAATGCATTTATTAAGAAGATGCCTGAATGGCCAATGCTTAAACCCGGTGATGATGATGGCTTAAACCGATTTTCTACCTTCCTAACGCAGTGTTGCAGTGCTATGAAATCGTTGTCGTATTTAACTATATTGGATCATCCGCACAACTTGCAAACCTTGGTCAAGAAGTTACCATTCCACCTTCAAGATCGATGGAGACGTGTCGCAAGTAAAGCGAGAGTCGGACATAGGAATATGCCAAGCTTCGACTCGTTTGCTAATTTCATTAAAGACGAAGCTAAAGTGGCAACAGATCCAATCTTTTCTCGAGAAGCTCTGAGAGTTCAAAGTTCTGACGGAGTAAACAACAAACGCAAGCCCCCAAATTATAAAGTAAGAACTAACGCAAGTAAAGTGGAATCTTGTATCCACTGTAAAAAGGAACATGACTTGAACGATTGTGATGAATCATGTTTCGCTCACTACTCTGGTTTAAATAAATGATTACAAAGCCCAGTCGAATTGTAATCAAGACCCAACGTTTCGACACTCCAGTCTAGTGTCTTCATCAGGGGTGATCTAAAACTGTGATCGTGGCTTCTTAAATACCCAAGGGATGACGTCACCTGCCAAGAAGATGCATATATTCCTCTGGCAAATAGGCGCCGTCATCCCTATTCAAAGCATGATGACTCATATTTATATGCCACGCTTCTAGACAAAGTCTTTGACCATAGCGATTGTTTGTGGTAATTACTTTAGAGTTTTCCCACGCAATCTCGTGTTTGGTGTAACATACATGTTCGGCTAAAGCAGATTTTCCCTTGTCTAAAGTTGAAACAGCCTTTTGATGTTCTTTTAGCCGTGTACCAAACTGGCGTTTAGACTGACCCAAATACTCTGACTGCGATAAAGAGTATTTGGGTCAGTCTAAACGCCAGTTTGGTACACGGCTAAAAGAACATCAAAAGGCTGTTTCAACTTTAGACAAGGGAAAATCTGCTTTAGCCGAACATGTATGTTACACCAAACACGAGATTGCGTGGGAAAACTCTAAAGTAATTACCACAAACAATCGCTATATCGCATATAAATATGAGTCATCATGCTTTGAATAGGGATGACGGCGCCTATTTGCCAGAAGAATATATGCATCTTCTTGGCAGGTGACGTCATCCCTTGGGTATTTAAGAAGCCACGATCGCAGTTTTAGATCACCCCTGATGAAGACACTAGACTGGAGTGTCGAAACGTTGGGTCTTGATTACAATTCGACTGGGCTTTGTAATCATTTATTTAAACCAGAGTAGAGAGCGGAAACATGATTGATATACCTGGTTGCAGTGAACGAACAAACTTTAGATTGTGATGAATATTTAAAGAAGAGCATCGGTGAAAGACGAAAATTCCTTGCCGAGAAACAGTTATGTTACTCGTGTTACATGCCTGGTCATAGATCTAGAGGTTGTTCGCAAAAGAGAACATGTAAGACTTGTTCACGCCGTCATCCTACTGGCCTACATGTTGAAAACTTTCAGCCTATTGTGAAAAAGCTTGCGAACAATAATGTTGCGAAGAATGTGGAATCGGCCTTGACAACCATTACTGCAAACAGTATCACCAGAAAAGTACAAGAAGAAGGACCTGTCGGATCTGTGCCGATAGTACCAATTATTGTACGATCAGCTGAAACAGAGTTGATAACATGTGCGATGCTTGATAACTGCAGCACCGGTACGTTCATTCTAGAAGATCTGCGACAAGAGCTTAACGTAGACGGAGTAGATTCACAAGTTTCAATAACAACTATGAATGGTAAACAGCTACACAACGTGAAAGTTATTAGAGGCTTGACTGTATCTGACTTGGACGGCAACAATTCCATTTCTCTACCTAAAGCTTTTACCAAGCTCGAAATGCCCGCAATCATTCAAGATATCCCCAGACCAGAGCAAGCGAGAAAATGGCCACATCTGGCGCATGTAGCTGATTACGTCCATCCATTAATACCGAATGTCAAGATTGGCCTCTTAATTGGAACAAACTGCCCTGAAGCCATTGAACCTAAAGATTTCGTGACAAGTATGAACGGTGGTCCATATGCTGTTCAAACGTTCGCTGGCTGGACTATTATTGGACCTCTTCATATGTCAAGCAATGGTCCTGCGACGGTCAATTGTAATCGGATTGTTGCAAAAGAAATTAGTTCAGAAGTACCAATGGATCATCATTTCGCTGTTGAACAGGTGGTGAAAGAGATCCTTACACCAGAAGCATTAAACAGAATGATGGAACTTGATTTCAGCGAAAGAAAAGTCAGTAATGAACATGGTCTCTCTCAAGAAGACAAGTTATTTCTTAAGAAAGTTGAACAAGGAACCAAGAAATTGCGGGAACCACTGAGTATTTTCATAAAATACAATACAACGGTAACTCCGAATAAAGTAAGCATTTTGATTCAACGTTTCGACTTTATTTAGTCATCATCAGGAATCTCCTGATGATGACTAAATAAAGTCGAAACGTTGAATCAAAATGCTTACTTTATTCGGAGTTACCGTTGTATTGAACCAAGAAAGTCGAAGGACACTATGAAATACCACTTCCTTTCAGAGAAGACAAAGTCGTTATGCCCGACAACCGAGCTCAAGCAGAACGAAGAGCGCATTGGATAAAGAAGAAATTCCTTAAAGATAATCGTCTACGCAAGCAATACACAGAGTTCGTGAATGATATGCTTGTCAAAGGATATGCAAGGAAAGTTCCACTAAACGCTACAGCCCCGAAGAAAGGCAAAGTATGGTACTTGCCGCACCACGCAGTATATCACCCAAAAAATCCCGATAAGGTCCGCATCGTATTCGATTGCAGCGCCCGATTCGAAGGAACAGCTTTAAACGATAGACTGCTTCAAGGACCAGATCTGACTAATTCTTTGATAGGAGTGTTGGTACGGTTTCGTCAAGAACCAGTGGCATTTATGGGAGATATAGAATCGATGTTCTATCAAGTGCGAATACCTGAGCATCAACGCAATTTTGTCCGCTTTCTGTGGTGGCCTGATGGTAACATATCGCAAGATCTTGCTGAATATGAAATGAACGTTCATATATTTGGCGCAGTATCGTCTCCAAGCTGCTCGAATTTTGGCCTCCGTAGAGCTGCTGATGATTATGAGTACAAAATTGGAACGGAATCCGCAGACGTGCTTCGACGAAACTTCTATGTAGATGATTGCCTCCGATCAGACAAGACGGTGGACGTTGCTATTTAACGAATGCACAGTGTTATAGATGCGTGTGCCAATGGAGGTTTCCACCTAACAAAACTTACATCAAACGACCGAACAGTACATACATACATACATACATACATACATACATACATACATACATCAACTTTATTTAAACACGGAAAATCATCAGTATAGTTATTTACAAAAATATTAAAAAATTTTAAAAGGAACAAAAAGAAATATAGATACTGTTCTACCTGATTGCCGTGTGGGAGTCAGATCGATTATTTATTAAGAAGGCTTCTAAACCTGTCTTAAATGCAGCGAGAGAGGTTACTGATCTAAGAGATTCTGGCATTGGAAACCATCCCTGCTGAAGAACGAACAAAAGAACTTCGAAGTTTGGATCTTAACCATCACGATCTACCCATAGAAAGAGCACTCGGCGTTCACTGGCATGTTGAATCAGATAAATTTGGTTTTCGTATTACCATCAAGGATAAACCACTAACTAGAAGAGGTATTCTTTCTACCATTGGCTCTATCTATGATCCTTTAGGGATAGCAGCTCCAGTGTTACTTCCGGGCAAGATGATTCTTCAAGATCTTTGTCGAGAGAAAGCGGATTGGGACGATGAGATATCAGAAACGTATCGTCATCGTTGGGAAGAATGGAAAAGAAGTTTACCCCTGTTGGAATAATTTGATCTGAATCGATGTTATAAACCAGATACATTTGGGACAGTAGTTTCTCAGCAGATACACAGCTTCTCTGACGCGAGTTCTGCAGGATACGGGCAGGTGTCGTACTTAAGACAAGAAAATGACCTTGGATAGATTCATTGTGCTTTCCTTATTGGCAAAGCTCGTTGTTCACCAGTCAAGCAAATGACTATTCCCCGCCTCGAATTGACCGCTGCTGTATTATCAGTACGTGTATCGAATATGCTTGTAAAAGAGCTTGATGTTTCACCAGACGATTGATTCTACTGGACCGATAGTACCACAGTCCTGAAGTACCTTACCAATGATAAAGCCAGGTACAAGACGTTCGTAGCAAACCGAGTCCAAACGATTAGAGACACAACTGCACCCCATGAATGGCATTACGTTGACTCAGCCTTGAATCCTGCTGATGATGCGTCTCGTGGTTTAAAGATGTCACGCTTCCTTGAGAACAAGCGGTGGATTAATGGACCATCATTCCTGTGGAAAGCAACGGATGAATGGCCTGAACGACCTTTTGATGTAAGCGTTAATACACTTGACGATCCAGAAGTCGCCGTAATATCTGCTAATGCCATCGTATCTGATCAACGCAATGAGATTCTGGAATACTTCTCTCGTTTCTCTCAATGGTATCGACTAAAGAAAGCTATAGCATGGTTGTTACGCATGAAGCCAAGACGAGATCGCAACCGACGGAATCTTGGTGATAGTTCCACGCAAGATATGACCCCCAAACCTATCAAGGTCGAAGAATTGGAAAAGGCAGAAGTTACAATTGTGAAAATTGTCCAAGCGGAATCCTTTCCTGACGAAATTAGTGCGCTGAAAAGGGTCGAAGACAGCAGCAAAATCAACAATAGAAGTCTTACTAAGCAAAAAACGACCAAACTCAGAACGTCAAGCTCATTGTATCGCCTGGATCCTTTCCTTGGCTCCGATGGTCTACTGCGTGTTGGAGGAAGATTACGTAGGTGTGACGAGATAACGACAGAAATGAAGCATCCCGTCATATTGCCGAAATATGGTCACGTTACAGAGCTGATTATTCGCCACAACCATGAGAACGCTGCCCACAGCGGAAGAGGAATTACTCTCAACCATTTAAGAGGCAGATATTGGATCATAAACGCCAATTCCAGAGTCAGAAATTACATATCAAGATGCGTAGATTGCAGAAAATTTCGTGCCAGAACCGCCAAACAGAAGATGGCTGATTTGCCCAAGGACAGACTTACTTCCGCAGCACCATTTACATACTGTGGAGTTGATCTTTTTGGCCCCTGTCTTATCAAGGATGGTCGGAAAGAATTAAAACGCTATGGTGTGCTATTCACATGCTTAAACAGTCGAGTAATTCACCTAGAATCAGCCAACTCCTTGGAAACCGACTCGTTCCTGAACGCACTCAGACGTTTTATAGCTCGACGTGGTCCAGTGAGAGAAATAAGATCAGACCGAGGTACCAACCTAATAGGAGCTGCGAAAGAGCTTAAAGACGCTCTCAAAGAAATGGACGACGCGAAGATAAACGAGTATCTGTGCCGTTATTCCGACGCTGATTGGCTGGTCAGATGGAAACCAAACCCCCCAGCGGCATCACACATGGGTGGTGTATGGGAACGCCAGATTCGTACAGTGCGTACAATCCTTACATCGTTAATGAAAGAATTTGGTCATGTTCTTAATGATGAATCTTTCCGAACACTGTTAACAGAAGCCGAGTGTATTGTCAACAGTAGACCACTGACATTCCCTTCCAGCGATCCTACCGATTTACAGAGTCCAATTTCACCAAGTAACATTTTGACGATGAAATCAAAGATAGTTATGCCACCTCCTGGAGACTTCCACCGCGCCGACCTCTACCTTCGTAAGCGATGGAAGCGAGTCCAGTATCTGGTTGAAATCTTCTGGACTCGATGGAAAAGGGAATACCTGAATACACTTCAGATGAGAAAGAAATGGAACCGTCCCCAGCGCAGTTTTGAAATCGGAGATATAGTCCTAGTAGTCGACGAGAGAACATCAAGAAACTTGTGGCCACTTGCTCGTGTTATTGACATTACTCCAGACTCAGTGGGTGCTGTTCGCTCCGTAACAGTGAAGACTGCTGCGTCAACCCTCGAACGTCCAATTGTGAAACTAGTTCTTTTACTGGAAAACTCGTAAGACCGGGAAAATCCCAGGAGCCATTATAGAAGAAATTAACTGACATTATGTGTTACTAGAAACATGAACAGTGTTTGTGTTTGTTTATTTTCAAGACTTTATTTGTGTGCATGTATTTAAGAGTGTCATCGAACCCTCTTAGGGGAGCCAGATGTTGTGGCAATGACTCATTTATAGTTTAATAATTACTGAACCTTGAACAATTTAAATATTAATTTTCTATAGGCATTATGTCGGAACATTTATAAGTCAGAGTAGAACGGTAGATTAGTTGTTGTTGTAATAGTTCGGTACGTTTTCTACCGTTTCTTATCTGTAATACGAAAACGTTCAACGAATAAAAATTATTAAGAGACGCGTGAGGAACAAGCCAATTTTAACGTGTGTACAGTACTATAACGAAAACGGGAATCGCTAAACGGCCGTAACAGCATGAAATAAAAGTTGATTTCGCATAACTTTGGCAATTGATAAAACTAGAATAGTGACGCGAATAGTGCGAATAGTCGACGAATAGTCCGCGAATAGTCGACGAATAGTGCGAATAGTCGACGAATAGTACAAATAGTCGACGAATAGTACGAATAGTGCGCGAATAGGCGACGAATAGTGCAATAGAGACTTTGCAAGGCTTTGCACCAGTGCTGTAGAACTAAATTTACCGGGGGGGGGGGGGGGAGGCTCTATTGACAAACATGAAATCGTGAAAACATTCGTTGACGTCAATGACGTCATACGTAACCGGTAAAATCACGGAACTACTCACCACTGAGTATTTTAATAAAATATAAAACAACGGTAACTTCGAAAATAAACATTTTAATATTCTAGCTTTCGACTAAAATTCAGTCATCGTCAGGAAACATATTTCATATTTTTTTTTATTTATCATCATTCCTGATGGTAACCATATGAGTCGAGTAATGTCCAATACAGGCATCTGATGTCTGATGGTGAAGATGGTGATGGTAAAAATAAACATTGTTTAAACCGAGAAAATCAAAGCTGAAGTTTATCAATAAATCAGGAAAAATCTTTATGCGATTTACAAACATTGATTAAACATTCATTTCTTTTGAATTTTCTTCATGAATTATTAATGAGTTTTATAATATTTATTTCACAGCCTCGAAACAAGTTGGAAATTTATCTGAGCATGCGCGAGCAAAATGAGCCACGCAATTCCGTGGAATACACGCAACGCGTGTTTACAAAAAGGCGCAATTGTGTAAATATTTATCAATTATTGGACGAGGTTGAGCAACATATCGTGATTTGTCGGTGGCGAGCAGATCAATTATTTGCCGATGCCGAAGGCAGAGGCAAATAATTGCCGCCATTACCAGAAATATGGGACATTTTGCTCCCGCTGTCCGTGTGCATTCGATCTGAAACAGTTGCTACTTTGCTGTCGAAACATTTTGAATGTTTACATGAAAATAGAAACAAGTCATGCATTTTATAACCTCGTCAACTGTATGAGCCCATATTTTTACGCTTATACCTAAGGCTAAGATATTAAATAAAAATACATGAAACAGAGAACATTTTTAGAAAGTTTTATCGTGAGGCCACGGCCAGTTTTTAAAATATCTTCATTTCTTTTCCGGTCATCACCAAAATTACACTGAAGCCGGGCTTGAATATACAACAAATTTTGAATCTCATCAAGTACAAAAATATTTAACGTGTAACCAAAATATGCTCATGAAATGGAAATTAAGAGCTAAAGTTTCAAACTAGACCCTTCTCGAGGCGGTTTTCATGAAGGAAGTTCACATTTCGGCCTTTGATTCTTGGCAAAAATTTGACCACAACACGTGCGAAGCAACTGGGTCTCAAAGACTCAGCTAAAACATTGTGAGCCCCTATTTTCCTGACGATATGTTTGATACCTACAAACGCCGAAAAGTTTTTTCTTTTCATTTAGCTATATTTGAAATTGAGGCCACGGGCTATTTTTGAGGAACTACAGTTCAAAGTCAAGCTATTTTTACATATTTTCAAAATTTGTCAAATTTCGCGAGCTTGTACAGTGAACTTAGACAGCTGAAGTTACATTATGAAACAGAAGATGGAAAATTTGAGGCATATAAAGTTAATTTCAACTTACATTTCATTCTCAAATCACGTCTTTCTTCGTTTATTACGGTTTTAAACAAGCCATAGATCGACGTGTACGGTATTTACTCCCATGTTCACGTCGCCATATTAACTTCTTCCAATCACGCGATTACAAAACAATCATCCCACAACAAAGAATTCATGATCGACTTTTAAAAGAATAACCAATAATTTGTAAATCGTTGAATGGAAAGCAAAAAATCGTCAGCTAAAACAGCTTCTTGCTAACTTTCCGCTTTGTTTTGAATGTAAATGCAATGAGCTTTGTTTCTGCCCGCAATTTTTTGGTCAGCGACGACAAATTTCCCACCTGTTGCGTAGGAGTGTTTTATCACATATCAAACACGACGCGTAGCGGAGTGTTTTATATGTGATAAAACACGACTACAAGTGCTTTAAATAGCTTAAAAAACGACTCATCTTATACGAGTTCATTGGCGAAGTAATTTTTGAAATAAACTTTGTCTAAACCGAGAAAATCAAAGCTAAAGTTTATGTAAATTAACGTGATTTTTTATCACATATAAAACCACGACACGCTTATGATTTTTCTTTGTGTTTTGCTCCTGAATTATTAATGAGTTTTTTAAGTTTATATCGACCGGCGAATAACAAAAATAATCACGTGCGCCATCACGTGAAGATGCGACCTTTGGACATGCCTAGTACGTAATTAAAACATTTCACTCGTCCCCAGTCGCTTAACACACGTTGAATGATGGGAATGGACCATAGATATAGGAGATATAGATTGCTAACGCATACCTAGCGCAGGCGGGGCCTACATGATAAATCCAAGATGGCGGTACAAGAGGGCAAAAAGACTATAGATTCTATTACGAAAATCAAGATTTTTGCATTTTTTGCCGTCGCATTGTTTTGAAACTTATTCGGTCAAATTTTATGGTAAAGAGAAACTTACCGCGAAGAGTTTGAGCATATTTATGATTGAATTGGATGAAAACTCGCAAAATTATCCAGCGATAAAAGTTCGTGTATAGTACTGATATAGTAATATATATGTAACTTGTACAGTTTTGCTTTAATTTTTGCTCACTATTTGCATAGAAAGCAAATTATAACGGACCATAGATGATAGACCCTTATCCAGTGCTGTCATCAGTTTACTTCTCTAACAAGCAAGGAGGGGGGGGGGGTACATAACAGTGAATTTTTCATAATTATGAGGACAGAGCAGATGATGATGAAAGATGCAAGTATAAAACACCATTCACAAGACTAGATGTTAACATAGCACAGTATTTCTGGCAATAAAACGCTCCAACTGACCATTTCACACGAACTTTTATCGCTGGATAATTTTGCGAGTTTTCATCCAATTCAATCATATATATGCTCAAAATCTTCGCGGTACGTTTCTCTTTACCATAAAATTTGACCGAATAAGTTTCAAAACAATGCGACGGCAAAAAATGCAAAAATCTTTATTTTCTTAATAGAATCTATAGTCTTTTTGCCCTCTTGTACCGCCATCTTGGATTTATCATGTAGGCCCCGCCTGCGCTAGGTATGCGTTAGCAATCTAGATCTCCTATATCTATGGAATGGACGCCCATGGGCTTTTGCGCCATATTGTTCCAACCCGCAAGCGCCTCATGCATTATCCTTATTTCCGAAGGAAATTTGAGGGTGGTTTGTGGCACGCGATGTGGTACCCTGGGTACTAGGTACACAGAGTATATTACTATATTACTATATACATGTACAGTAACAAGTACTGTAGCTCGAAATTATCTTAGTCAGGATAAAATATAATTTGATGCTAATTGGTTTATTGTCTACCCAAAAATCCTTAATTGTAAGATATACTTAAAATGGTACCATTCGACCGTTGTGGGGAAAGGCGGAACACACTGGTGCAAATGAAGGGAAACGTCAGGGTGCGATAATTCAATATTTTTAGCCGTACCTGACTGGTACTCCAACAATTTTTGCCGAGTACTTGAGCTGACACAAACTTAAAAGTCAAGGTGTACCTAAGGCTACTTCCGAGTCTTGCGTTTTACACATACGTATATAATGCACGGTCTTTGACAGAAAAAATTAAGCCTTTCTGAATTTTATATATTTGATGAATACGTTTATACTAGTACGCAATACGCAGTCACACATAAAACTAAATTCTCCACATTTATTCGTTTAGTTAGTTCATGATAAACATTTTAATGAATTACTAATAACAGGAATAAAACTTAAGATTCCCAACAACGCTTGTTAACGCTATGTCCATAAATGGTTCGATGAGGTTAGGCTGTTAGCACCCTCGGTCAAATCTAACTGAGCGATGGCACTCGAGTCGCAACAATACTTTGAAAATTGTCATATTATGTCGTACAAATACCATTAACGATTAGTTTCTACAAAATTGTCCATAGTTTTTGCTTTTAGACCAGTAAACCATTCAATGTGATCCAAACGTTTTAGGTAATTCTCTAATCGATAGCATATATAGCGTCTACTACGTATATATAGACGCCAAAAACACTTATAACAAAGTTGACAACCTTGTTCGATCCTAAAATATGTCGGATGTGTGGAATTTACATGTATAGCTAAAGTTATTGACGGTTTTGAATACCTTTAAAGTGCCTATGACACGAAATTTCACCCCAAATGTTTATGATTGCATTGTAAAGATTACTTAAAATGACTTAGTAATTTCTTTTATAGAATTTTGGTAACTTGCTTCCTTTGCAAGATATTCAACTTTGTTTCATATGCAAATATCACCGGTGTGACATCACATCGCATAATGACATTTTGAAAACGCAATATTTTACCTTGAAAAAATATTTTTACAAACAAATACAGAGGGTTAATAGACAACTTGCATGTTAGACAAATTTTTGATCTAGCCGATCTAGGCAAAAAAAAAGTAAATTCCCGTTAAGAAATTATTAAAATTAGTAAACTTGCAAAATTTGGTTGCGAAATGTTGTAAAACTTGGAAAATATAGCTTTGCAAAGTTTGCATATTTTCAGTATATTTGTATTAAGTGCGGAAATTGTTACCATTTTCGGCTTACAATTTCCGCTCGTAATACAAATATACTGAAAATATGCAAATTTTGCAAGGCTATATTTTCCAAGCTTTACAACATTTCGCAACCAAATTTTGCACTTTTACTAATTTCAATATGTTCATTTTAGCTGTGGTGTCTGATTCCCTTTTCTCTGCTTAGATTAAAATTTTGTCTAACATGCAAGTTGTCCATTACCAGTTATGAAATTAATACATATACAAGGGCAATTTTTAAGTTTTTTAGATACGTATTCGTCAAGAAAACTATACTTTTCTGAAAACTCATTATGCAATGTGATGTCACACCGGTGATATTTGCATACGAAACAAAGTTGAATATCTTGAAAAGGGAGCAAGTTACCAAAATTCTATAAAAGAAACTATTAAGTCATTTTAAGTGATCTTTACAATGCAACCATAAACATTTGGGGCGAAATTTCGTGCCATAGGCACTTTTGATTGAAATTTCGTGTCATAGGCACAAGATTTGCTAGTAATTGCTAGAAGGAAAATGTAAGTACGCGAATCAGGGACGCCAGAGCGAGGGTAGGGCACAGGGGGGGGGGCAATGTTGACGTAAGGGCAATCACTAATTAATATTTCGTTTCCGAAAATTTTTTTCCGGGACCTTAATTCACCAAAACAAGGGCAAACATTTTGAAAACATAATTTTTGACACAATATTCCAGAAAATTTCACGTATATTTCAATATAACGTACATTTCACATTTCACCCGTAATTCATACTTTTTAATCGTTGTACCTCATATTTTTTGGGTTAGAATTTTTATCTATAAGGGCACTTTCGCCCCCCCCCCTGCCCCGCTTACTAAAGGACAAGGGGGGCGATGCCCCCTGCGCCCCCCTTTCCGGCGTCCCTGACGCGAATAGCAAATTATCGGGTAACTACGTGGTACTCGGCTAAAAACAAAGAAGTACCAGACCGTAATTTTGGCGTACCTCCGGTACGTTGGTACGCGAATGATCGCACCCTGAACGTTTTTATTTTTCAAGTATTCAAAACAAAGTTTTGATGACAAACTACGAAATAATTATGGACATTTTAAATTAAATATTAATATAACTACGCATTTATTGTTGAAACATTTGTCTCCGAAGAAACTGGCTACTGCATCACTACACTTTTCCGGAGAGCAGTTAGCCGTGGCTATAGAGCTTCGTTTATGTGATTGAGACATTGGCTTTAGAGCCCTTTATCTTGTCATTAGTGACATAATTGTAGAAAGGTCTTTTATATTCACTGATATTACCAAAACCGTGCACGCCTCCTCTCGGCAGAAAAAAACGTGTCTTGTTTTCGTGTCAAAACTTTCAGGGATTGGAAATGCGACTACATTCCTACGCCTATTACTGCTAAAATATCAAGCTTTCAGCACAATTCCCCGCAGAGATGTTAGGTACGAATGTTTTGACACGAAAACATGACACACTTTTTTTTGGGGGGGGAGGAAGGACCGCGGTTTTGAGTAATACAACATTACTGTATGCTTTCGTAATTGTGTCAACTGGTAAAGGATTCTAAACTCAGATCAATTACGATAACTAGGTTTTATACCACCGAGCACTTTCCGGAATGGTGTATTGACCACGGCGATTGTACGTGAGAATTAAGCGAAAATCTGGAAACTGGGGTACTAGGTTCAAAACTTAGGTTCCCAGATAATCCAAGAGAGTTGGCACCCCTGCAAACCACAGTACTTTTGTCTATAACTAGCACTATTTACTTCTCTAAATCACCCCTTCACTTGTCATCCTCTGTTGCCGAACGGTTTGCCACCCAAAAATGGTAAGAAAGGCTAATCGAGCACGTACAACGTGGGATATTTCCGGCTTGTTTGTCGGATTAACGTGCTAAGGTAAACCAACACTGAATGAGTATGAACTTATATTTTTAGTGATGGATCATATTTGGAACAGCATAAAAGGTTTATTTCACAATGTTACCAGTCGACTGAGTGATACCGAAAACGAATCGTCAGAAGGGTCAATGACGAATATCGATTCAGAATTATCTGATGAGACGGTATTCCAGTCTCCTACGAGTCATGAAAATTCTGAAAAGTGTCAGGAATCCGCCAATTTTCAAAATGAAGAAACAGTACCATTGTTAGACCAGCAATCATATTCTGAATTAGATATAGTAGATCCAAATAAGAGTACTACAGAGTCTCAAAGAAAAGAAATAGAATACTGTAGTTTATTAAACGATTTAAAGTTAAATCTTGACGTAAAGTTTACTTTAAAGAAAGCTAGGATAGTGGATAACAACACAATTAATGATAAAGCTTTAACATCTGCAAATGAAATTCCAAAGTATATTGTTGAAAAATTAATGATAGTGGATTATCACGCGCGAGCATTTAAACTAAATCATGTAAGCATGGAACAAGCTAGCGCAACATTTGATGGAAGTGACGATGAAGATGAGGCACATGAAGAAATAAAAGAAACGGTGAATCCTATGGATGCATTTCTTGCTATCTTTCATTGCGCTGATGATTTTCTACGACAAGATCTTGCCATCAAATTATCAGCTTGTCAGCTCAGTGTTCCATTTCTTCTGCCGGATCCAGCGCAGCCTTCTGAGAAAATTACAATGCTGCTGTGGGCTTTAGAAGGAATAAAGAAATCATGGAAAGCAGCGAGTGTCAACAACGAACACATCAGAGCTCAACACGTCTTTGTTTTAGAACATCCCTTTCCAATTGTCTCTTTTATTCGTGTTGGGACAAACGCGTTTTCAAAATCCGTTTTATTGAACAAGATCATGAGTGACGTGAATGGGTATCATGATTTCTTCTTCCACAAAGATTGCAAAGGTGGTGGTACCGAACGAAAGATCGTCGATGGACTGGTAGAGTTGTGTTGGTATCTTCCTGGAGAGAGAAAGCGTCAGGCATTTCAAAAAGAGATTTGTTTCGCAAATCTAAGAGGAGACGCCAGAAGTTACAGGAAGCAGTTGAGCGTCCTTACAAAGATTTCGTCTGTTGTATTCCTGTTGCTACCATCAGAATATCCACAACAGTCTACGAAAGACATTTTGATCGAGACAGCAAAAACAGAGCCAAAAGTGTTCGTTGTTTTTAAAGAGAGACCACAAGAAGATGCAAAGCAATATTTTGATGACTTCAAACGAGGACATCCAGGTAAGTTATCTTTTTTACAGAAGAGCACTCAAGCAAATGAAGACGACTTTGTTGAAATTATACGACAAAAAATTGAAAGGAATATCGTCACATCCAAATGTATACCATTGAAAAAGGTTGCTTCGTTTGTAAATGAATGCGGCATCGACCTTGATGAAAACTCTGACATGAATTCTCTTTGGCGGGAAAGTATAAGTGCGTGGATACAAATGGGTCCCAAAGATGCTAAAATGAAATTAAAGTTACAGACCCAGGTAGCTGCACTTGCAAATTTAGAACGTGAGAATTATTGCCCAAAGCCACAAGCTAATAAATCTGAAAATGAGCGTATCGACGATATTTTTAAGAAGCAGCAGGAAGCACTAAAATCCCAAAAAGACTCGTTTGCTAAAATGGATGAACAAATCTGCAGGTGTCTCAATCGAATAGCGGTGATGAATGATGTTCAACGACAGTATGCCTTGACGATCTTGAAGCATGATCTTGATAAGATGTCCCTGAAGGTCTTAGGATCCTTGCAAGCACAATATCGTGATGCCTGGCTCAACATACAAAAGAAGAAAAAGCAACAGAGACTGAACAGCTCTGAACAGCATTCCCTGTCAGACGAAGAGATGCATCTCAAGCAATTAGAAGAGACAGTTATAGAAAGCTCGTTTGGTTTGGAACATATTATTAGAGAAATCGCACAGATGTATCAACTTACAGAAATAAGTCTTATTGACTATGCAGGAGCTGCAGCAGACATGTTACTTGCGGGACAGCCTCTTGAACTGATGGATGGCGATTCTTCGTATATTCCATTCAAGTGGTTTAATGCTGTATTCAGTAAACTTGTACGCAAAACAAATAACGCAAAACTATTTGTGATTTCTGTGCTAGGAATTCAAAGTTCAGGTAAGTCGACAATGTTAAACACAATGTTTGGTCTAGAATTTCCAGTAAGTGCAGGTAGGTGTACTCGTGGCGCTTTTGCTAGTCTCATTCCTGTTAGTGATTCCCTTAAGTCCGCATCAAATTTTGATTATATTCTGATCATTGATACTGAAGGTCTTAGAGGATCTGGAGATCCAGAGGTGCGACAACATGACAATGAGTTGGCAACTTTTGCAATTGGTGTCGCTAATCTAACCATAGTGAATATCTTTGGTGAAAATTACAATGACATGAAAGAATTCTTGGAAATTGCCGTGCATGCTTTCTTGAAGATGAAGCTGGTCAGGGAAAAACGAATATGTCAAATTGTTCATCAAAACGTAGCAGCCGTTGAAGCTTCAGATGTTCTGGCCACTGAGCGCATTACTCTCAAGAAGAAACTGGATGAAATGGCTAAACTAGCTGCTATCCAAGAAAATTGTGACGACGCATTTCAAGAATTGAACGATATCCTGTCATTTGATGAAAACGATGACGTATTTTATATTCCAAACCTTCTTCAAGGCAGCCCACCAATGGCACCAGTGAACCCAGATTATGGAAGGGCTGTTCAGAAAATAAAAGAAAAAATCATTTCATTGATGTGTTCACCAGAAAGATCTTATCATCCCATTTCCCAGTTTCAAAAACGTGTCTGCGATCTTTGGAAAGCCATCCTACGTGAAAATTTTATATTTAGTTTCCGAAATACAATCGAAGTGCGGGCGTATACATCTTTAGATCAAAAATATTTTGAAGAATCTGTTAAAACGATGGTGACGGGAATGACGGAACTTGAAAAGAAGATCCACGTATCATTAATGAGAAGTTCAGCAGACGCTCGAGAGGATATATGGTCCGTAAGTAAGATGGAAATACAAGAAAAAGCAGAGGAACTTGGCAGTAAAATGGAAAAAGCAATGGAAGATTTCTTTGAAACGAACGAGGACAAGACAACTCTTGAACAATGGAAGGAGAATATTATGAATAAAATCAGGTACCTTCAGGATTACCAGATGATGGAAATCATGCGAAATTGTCAGGCAGCTTTTCATTATTGGCAAAGTCGACAAGAGGTGGATATAAAGAAACAAACATATGAAAATGAGTTACTTGCAAAAGCTAGAACGTTTATCTCTTCGGTTGAAGATACGGATGATGTGGAAAGATGTACGGCAAAATTTGAGCAAGAATGGCAACAATGGATTGAATATGTTCCTCCTTGCATGGAAAAGCCACTTAATATTAATCAAGAAATGACAAATGTTTTATTTCATACTGACAAAAGACTGACTGGAGAAATGAAAGTAAAATACAACGCACAAGGACGCAACTTGCTGAATTTTAAGGATAGTTTGCCATCTATTAAAAATCAACTTAATGTAGGGGGGTTCGAGAGATTTCTACAAATTTTTCGAAATAACCCTCAACTAGTTATGGATGCAGAGAGAATCCAAGACAATGCGATACGTGCTGCAATTGATTTTGCAAAAACCACTTCGAGGTCGGGTGTCAGATGCAGACCTGATGATCTGAAGCGAATGTACCATCTTGTTATCTCTACCATTAATAAGAAAACAAAGAATCAGAAATTTAAGTTTCCCACAGGTTTGTTGTGTGATACATTACTCTGCGCCTTTGCCAATGCATACAACGATTTCTATGAGATGGAGGAACGCTACATCCGAGAACGAGACATAAGAGGTGATCTGGAGAGAACCCTGCGACCAAAATTGGAAAAATATTTCCTTAGCATCTGTAAAGAGATGCAAAAAGAAGTGCGTGCTGCTACGTTAATGGTGGATGTTCTTCAAAAAGCAATGGAGTCAGAGTTGAATAGAAGCATGGTCCTGCGGTGGCAGGAGAAATCTTGAAGAAAAATGAATTCCAAAGTAAAGGGCAATTCCATGCTAGTGTACTCATTCAACTAGGAGAGGAATGTAAGTTTCAGTCCTACACTAATTATCTTCGAAACCCTGTCAAATTCCTCAGAGATAAGTTGATTCAGTCCATTGGATACTATTGTTTAGCCAATGCAGACAACTCAGTCAATTTACTTCTACAAAACGAAGTGAAAAAGATCGAAGATAGAGTACTCGAAGCCATTTCAATTGCCAGTAGGTCTTCAAACGCAGCAACTTTTTCTCTCTGGAGAGAAGACTTTGTTGATAACTGTTCAACACTTGAGATAACTGCAGAAATGTTCAATGTGGCTGCGATTGATGATGATTTAAAAGATTTTGAGATGTTTGAAAGTCAACTCATTAAGATGGTGAAGGAATTTTTGCAGTCTTTGGTTGAACGAGGAGTGAGTCGCAAAGTTTACACAACCTGGAATCCAGCTCCCCATCAAAAGTTACTGGACTTGATGTTTGGCTGTCAGGAGTGTTGTCCATTTTGCAAGGGCTTATGTGACCAAACAGTTCGGGATCACGCAGGTGGACACTCAACAAGGATTCATCGACCCCAGGGAATAACTGGTTATCGTGGTGTAAACACACAAATTTTAGTAAATTGTATTTGCACCACTTCCGTCAGTAGCGACGGGAAATTCAAAAATGTCGACACATCTGATCAATGGCATCCTTACAAAGAGTACCAAACAGTCAACGAGTATTATAAATCCTGGGCAATCCCACCTGACCCATCATTTGAAGCATCCACGTATTGGAAGTGGTTTATGGCAACATTTTCACAGGAACTAGCGGATTATTATGGTGCAAAACCACCAAAAATTCCTTTAGCTTGGAAAAATATTTCTTTTGAAGAAGCAAGGAAACAACTTCGAGAAGAATTTAACTTGGCGTAATTGATCTTTATCTCACACAATTGAACTATCATTGATATAATAATGTAGATAGCAATATTATGAAATAAAATAAGTAAACACATTGATAGAATTTGGTATTTGTAACAACTATGTAAAGATCTTTGGCTGTCATAGTTTTAGTGGTCTATCCACCGTTAATTTGCATTACAAAACTTGCTAAAGTAGTTGTAAGCCTTTACATGCATGAACATCCATTATTTTTAGTGATACAGATTCATACCTTGCTGTTTATGAGTTAGGGTCAGCGGTTCCCAGGGTTAAGAACATCATTCACAAACAGCCATAGCTTATACCCGTGAAATTGTAGTTTAGAATAAAGTCTGTTGCATTAGGCTATTTTATCATTACTTTTAGCTATAAAGGAAAAATAAACGTAATACAGTGATTATTACACACAGTTTACCACTAGTAACCATGCAATATAAGTATACTTGAATACTGTCGGATTATGGTTAAACCACATTTACAACCTAAAAAATATATTGAAATGGTCTAGCGTGATAAAATACAGTTCAATAATTAGGTAGTGCTGATGTCACTTAAAGTGAATACTATACTTACTATAGAGTATAGTGAGCCCATGCGTACGGGAAGGAAAAAATTAGGGGGGCGGAAAGAAATTTGCCCGACTTTTTCGGATTGTGCCCGAGTTGTCAAAAAAATTTCCGGAGACACTTTCCAAAATTGACAGAAAAATTCCTATTAGATAGCATATTTTTTTTTTTTTTATTTCCCACAAAATTGACAGAATTTCCCACAAAATTGACAGAATTTGTCGCATTTATTTTTATAATAAGCCAATATTGCCCGACTGTGAAGCGAATATTGCCCGACTGGCTTTGTTTGCACAACAAACTGGGGGAGGGGGGCTGCCGTCTGGTACGCCCATGATGAGCTTAAACAAGCGACGTTTTTTCAACACCGACGTCACCCAAAGATTGGTTTAACTAAATTTGGCGGCACTGTGCATCACAGCACTGGTTTAAGGAAGCAAAAAACTTATGTTTTGTCATATGTGTTGAACATTACCACAAACTGACACAAACACAATTATTAATCCAGTCCCCCCGGCAATCTGACGTCCGCGTTGACAAAAACGTCGCTTGCTTAAGCTGGCAACTAACCGGATCAGAGAGAATACTTTATATTAAAATAACCAGTTTCACATAACAATAAACAACCTATTCGGTTAAATTTTGAATAAAACAGATAGCTATAAAATAAAGTATTCAGCGATTTAGAATTAAGGCTCAATTCATATATATAGAAGTAGTAGTATTGCAATGTACAGTTTACTTTATTGACATGACAATTAATTATGCCATGTAACTTAATTTAAACTCTTGAGCCAAGATCAGCCCATAGCCTCCTTCCTCCGCGACATCTAGTTCATGGGTCACTGTGGCCACAAAATATACCTACGGAGGAGCCAAGACTCTCCACTAGGCGAATTTGTTCGCGCGAACAGTAAAAAAGTAGGAACTGATCCAACTTTTTCGCGGCGAATTTTTTCGCTGACCAATCACATTGCCAAGATTTGTTTTTCGCTTCGCATCGCGCGAAAAAATTCGCCTAGTGGAGAACGGGCTTTATATATAAGCCCATTTTCCACTAAGGGATTTGTCCGCGCGAACAGTAAAAAAGTAGGAACTGATCCAACTTTTTCATGGCGAATTTTTTCGCTGACCAATCACATTGCTAAGATTTGTTTTTCACTTCACTTCGCGCGAACAAATTCGCCTAGGCCCTATAGTGGAAAATGGGCTTAAATTAACGAACATTTCTATATAGCGCAAATTTACATATCCACAATAATTGTCATGCAAATTTGCGCTATAGAAATGTTAATCGTATTGCAAGTCTACAGTGTGCAGTATTTTCGTTGTACAAAACAATAGTCATAATTTCCACATGAAATTATGGGAAGTTTCTTTTAAATATTGGAAACTTTTTACTGATAATTGTTGGTTAGTTAAATCATACCGTATTGTTTTGGCAAAAATGTTGGTTATCTTGGCTCGAAGACTTGTCTTCACATAAGTGAATGGAAAATCAGTGGTCTGAAAATATATAGTTGAAAGACGTCGATACTGTCAAATTAGTCCCAGTGAAGAATGTAAAGACAGTTCGTGGTCTATGTGCACTTTTCTTATCAATTCTTGTACAACTAAAACTTCACCGGTGAGAAAATAATGTGAGAAAATTTTCACATTTGACTGGTGTTCTATCATTCCAGAAACAACCAAGCAACAGATTAACACTCACCTCATAGACATGGTGCCTATAAAATGAGACCTTTCTATATTATCCTTTCCGTACTGGAACTAATTACTTTGCTTCGTTGGCTATAACAAAATTGCATTCTACCACATAATAGATTTGGCTGTTAAAATAATTGAAATACAAGAATCACATGCAATTGATGACTAAATGTATAGGCCTAATGGTCTTACAACTACGTCTTTTATGGTCAAGTGCGCATGAAAACTGTATGAAAGTACCGTTGGCAGCAACATTTAAAAGTTAACTTCATTGTCACGTGCAGGACGCCCGTGCTCCAAAATCTAAAAGAATACATGTGGGAAAAGAAGACGATACCGAAAATGCAGATTTTGTTTTTAAGAGCAAGACGTAGCTAATATATAGCTATGGCGAAATAACATCATCCTATCTAACGATATGTCTCGACGATCGTTGACTAATCATGAGTTAGATGTTAACGAAAAAGTATAGACTGAAGATTCGAAGACGAGTACAAGACAGTAGTACTATTACTCAAATCATTACGCTGGGTCCTGGAAAATTGTACGTATGGATTGCATGATTGTGAAAATTAAAAAGTTAATAGTGAAAGTCAAAGCGTTCTTTATGACCACGTATTAACAATTTCTCATGCGTGAGAAAAATAATCCTAAACGAGAACGGTAAAAACTGTGCAGCAGTGGCATTTGCAGAATTACAGAGACCTCAATCTTCCTGTTATTAACTATACGACAATAAAAGGCCATGACGATGTACGTTATTCTAATATATAATTTCTCGCGTAGCCATGCAGAGTGAAAGCCTGACCTGGTTTCTATACGCGGGGCCAAAGCATTCCTCAAGAACTTCTCAAGAGTCCAAAGTATGCGGCCGAGAACTGAAACACCTAGCATCACCTTGAGTAAAGCATTCCTCGTGAATCTCGCAAAAGTTAAAAAAGATGCCGCAAAACGATCGAGAACTAACAATGAATGTGGAGTTTCAATGTAATTACGGGAATACAAAGAACTTGACCTTAACTACAATTTCAGTAAAAGAGATGTATTCATCAGCACCCCATTCGTGACACAACCAATCTCGAAGAAATCGAGAAAAAAAACAAGGAAAAATTATTTTAAAGGATGAATTTGGTAGAATGTAATATTGTTTCAGCGAACACAGAATGAATTAGTTTGTGCTTGTGAAAATGTTTCTTAGCAACACAGTTTCAAAATATTTCTATTCTATTGCTTGCCTGTTCGTGTTTAGAACATCAAAAGCTGGTGTAAGATTTTAACAATCAAACAAACCACCGATTCTCAAATATTTCAAACTTGAAATAGATTTTACTATATTCCGGAAAATATGGGTTTACTTGCAGTAATGCGACAAGAAAATTAAGAAAATGTCATATAAAATGACAACTTTTGAAAACATTTTAGTAACAAATACGTCTTTGAACATATCTGCTCATATACCACTGACTTTTGATCCTACGCGTAGTTGGTCCAAGATCTTTGAAACAATAATTGAAACAATTGATTTAACTTCATTATATGGCATGAATCCAACAAAATTTGACCAATCAAACATATTTGGAAAAAGTAGCCAATATAATTTCGGATACCTTGTTTAAACAAGGTGATTTTGTCAAAATACATTTCGTACGTATGAGTTATGTGATCTAAGGAACTTGATGTATTAAAACAATAATTATATTAGTAGCTATAAGGCTTGTGCCTTTGGGATAATTAGTCTGTTTTGTAGTGAAGAATAAAATGCCAATAATAATGTATAATTACAGAAGATGTGTGCAATAAACTGTATTAATAATCACAAAGGTATAGTAAGGAAATTCATTTATAAAATAACATGTATATAACGCGTGCTCTGATTAGTCGAAACCTGTGTTTGGATCAGGCCATCCAAACACGGAAAGTTTTTTTAAGGGAAATTTTAACACGGAAAGTTGTTATTTTATAAAACAACAACTCGCCTTCGGCTCGTGTTCGCGCGCTTTTCTTAACTCTCGCAACATTCCCGCGTGTTTGGATCAGGCCATCCAAACACGGAAACCATGAAAGTAATTGTATATTCATTTTCCCTAAGAAGTATAGAAAGGAACCCTACAGCTTCGTAATATTTCATCTATTGAAGAAGCATGCAATGAATTTTACCACACGTTTTTCAGAGAACAAGCATTAGGGTGGATAACCCCTCCTATCACTGAAGCAATGATTGTTGGTTAATGTATACACATGATTGAGGAATTAATATAAAACACAACCGTACCAAGCAGTTTCAAAGGTCTCCACATTATTACATCATTCCCTTAGAATATTTCTTACTGGCCGCTGACTTTCTATTATGAAAAGCAATCTTTGCTTTATGTTTATCTTTATATGATCGGTCACGTTCTGTATTACCACTTCGTCCTTGGCGCTTGCCTACATCATCGTTACCATGGTTATTCTGTCTTTGGTGACCTTGACGACGGCCATGCTGTTTCTCACCAGATACGTCATTGGGTTCGTTAGGTTCTCTTCCCTTTGAAGAGCTCTCTCCAGAGTCCTGCATTTAAAAGATGGGAATAAATACTGGTCATTGTAAAATATGAACACACTGTATAAGGTTAGATTTAAGGTCACGTTTATATGTTTTTGTCTGGGCGAAACGTACCAGCTAGCAGGAAACTCGGTTAGGCGGGTACAAGTGTTTACATGCTGATCACTCGAGTGTTCCTTTGGTATAATTGTACGTTACAACAATAAATTGTTATGTTCCTCTCTCCCTCCCCTCCCGAACAGGTAAACACCTTACACCTCCCGAACAGGTAAACACCTTAACCTTCAGTTTTGGGTTTTCACAGATCTTCTCCAAAGTTTTCCCAACTATCTACTCGCAAGCATATAAAGATACAGTAAAACACAGTACGTCGGAGACGTGTCGATATATACGAAGCTGCTGCGTTGACGGAGTTATTCAGGGGGAGGGGCGAAATAACTGGAACAACCTGGGTGTCGGTAATAGACCTTTCCGGTAATTACGTCACAACTACACTGTTTTCAACTTGGATTTTGACCAATAAATGTGGAAATAGGTTTTAACACGAAAACGAGGCTGAGGGACCATTTAATGGTCAAAATCCAAAATTCTTTTTATGCATGTGTTGACGAAGGATGTTCTGCTTCTCTGACCATAGCCCGTGAGAAACAAACTTAAAATCTATTCCATTTAAGGTGGTCCTAAGTTGAAAACGGTGTTTGTCGTGACGTAATTACCGGAAAGATCTATTCGTTAATACTGTATAATGGAGTTGTACGTTGTTATTTTATTCAATCTAATAGACCCTCAAACTGACCTTATCTTCATCGTCATCATCTTTGTTGTCTTTTAAATGAAGTAGAGCACGAGGAGTCGTGAATGGCCTGGAAATAAATTGCATGAAATGAATCTATTTTATTGTTTATTATTTTATGATATCGTACTTACGTCTCAAAGTAGCCTGCGCAGCGGCGCTGGGGTACTTCTTTTTTCAGTCACGTATACGACTTAGATACGAGTATTCTCGCTATCTTACTTTTAACTAACAACTTACTTTTTGCTGGTACCACATGACCTTTGCAAATCAAAGGTATACAAAACCGTAATTTAGTGGGCATTTGTGTAAGCCTGATAAAGTGTCAATGTTTCTTACTAGAGGCGAAATTTTAATCAGCCAACTATATATTGCCGTAGTGTACATTTGACACTTGTGATCAGTACAAAGCAGCATTATTATTTATGTTCTCTTGAAGTAACAATGAACATAAGATAACAAACATAACTTGAAAGAGTGATTCTTCGCATTGTCCAACCGCTGGAACTTGAAGTTAAAACAGAGATTACCGGCCGGTTAACGCAATCCTTTGTGGGCAATTATTGACGAATGTCGAAGTCTGAGAGGGAGGAAACAGTCAACTAGGTCTAATCGATAATGGCCTTTCCCAACACCTAGAATCAATAACAAACAATTACCTTCTCAACGTAATTTCGCTCAGTTCATCAGCTGAGTCAACATCTTGAGCCCCAACATTTTGTTCGTCATAGGTATCATCATATTCATCTTCGTAATCATTAAATGTTTCATCATAATTCAAAATTATTTGTTTCACACTTTCAACATCTCTCTCTTTATCAAAAACTGACTTCATACTCTCCGCAACGCGTGTCTTTCCTTTTTGTACTCGCGTGAGATCCACATTGGCATTAGTGAATATATCAAATTCGTCTTGATCATAAATATTATGTCTTGAAGATAAAACACTAGACTGCTTCATAACTTCACTCTTACTTAAGTTACGGTCAAGAATGCTTAGTTCACCAGGAAGACTGTTTTCAAGTATAAGGTTTATAGTTTTCTCGACATCATAATCCAAGTTTTGTAAACAAAGAAGAATGAATCCTTCACCACAATCTGGCAGTAAATCTTTCACATGTGATATCATTGAGGTAAGTTCTACATCACTCATGGTTTCTGATGGCATCTGAAACATAAATGATTAAAACAATATTTATGGGTTTCAGTATTAGGTCATGGGAAACCAGTAGTGGTCGAAGCAAATTAAAAAAACATCTCTCAATTCCGTTTAGTAACATTTTTTACACCTCTGGTTGGCCACCATCTGTTGCACAATATGCTTAGTGAAATCCATCATTTCGCAACTTGTTAAAATATTAACGGTTTTGTGTTTCTCCACGCACCATGCTTTCTAATTATTTGCGGACTGTTTGACCGGCAACAGTGGATCTAAATTCTAAATCTACGCTCACGTTCGTGGTAAGACTTTCGTTGGTTAATAAATAATTTATGTTTAATATGTGTGTACAATGAATAACAGCGAAGACAATAAATCAGCTTAGAACCAATCATGGTTCGCTGTACCTGACCACTGAGTTGGGTATTTTTATTTGATGGGTCACTACCTTGCCCTGACTTGCATGCTGTGCTTGAAAATCAATGTATGTAGAGTTGGTGGTTCTCTTCTACTATAAGAGGGTTTTTTCCAGGCACTACAATTTTCCTTTCTCACCAGCCTACCTAGCTGGCGCTTTTCAGGATTTTGGAGTTCAATTCCATGCAGGCAAATATTAAGAAGTTGAGGCTGCGTAATCAATGTATGGTAGGCATCGTTCAACTCGTTTGAGCTGCGTACCGCTGTTCAATTCTCATTAGTCGGTTGATTAAATTTATATCATGTGACATGTGTATTGGCTTTTAAGGTGGCTGAAGGATGACACTATACCTTTAAAACAATTTTGAGTGAAGAAAGAAAACATTTCGTCGCCAAAAAAATTTCGGTCAGTGTACCATTTTAGGGGTCAAAAAATTTTTCCGGACATGCCAAAATTTTTCGGAACATCACAAATTTTCCAAAAACCACTACATCGGCCATAAAATTGACTGAATTTTCGACAAAATTAAGAATTTGTCCCATTTATTTTTATAAGAAGCCAAAATTGCCCGACTGTTAATCGAATATTGCCCGACTGCCCAAAAAACTGGGGGGCTACCCCCCCCCCCCCGCCCGGTACGCCTATGCGAGCGAAGGTCTTACTGAAGCTTTAATTCCCACTACTACCTTCCATATGCCATTATAGAGAATGTCACCTTTGTGCATATACATGCTAGTACAATTTTCTGTTTTGAATTTTCATTGATTTCCAGTACAACATTAAAATGCAAAGCGATGTGTTGCTACTTGAGTTTGAAAAGCAGGGAACAAAACGTTAGGTACTTCGGTAAAATTTTGTTTGTGAAAGTTATAAACCTCTCTTGCTATTAAAATGGTTAAAATAATGCCTATAAGAGGGAATGCGGGCGGGGAATAAGAAACTAATATGCAGCAAATAGTGGCTTTAACGCTATACCTAGATGTATTTGAACCCCACGCTCGAGATATTATCACTTAAAAACTTACTTCAACTACTTTCTTAGATAAAGACGCCTCTAAGCTGCCACCATCCCTTTGACCAGGGGATGTAATATTCTTCTTTTGTGGTCTGTCATTGGAATATTGTGCCCCTGATCTGGAATGTTGAGATTGATTACTGGATTCTTGTGGCCGCAATCCAGAATCATTCGGTTTAACATGAATGTCGTCCATTTCACTGATGGCAGATATTATGTATTGTAATCGTGTTTCATCCACAGGGAGCCCAGACGAGTGAATAATATCTATGTCCAACTCAATACTATATTGAAGGTTGTACACACGGAGGAATCTAAGAAGTAATGTATGAAATCAGACATTATGATTGTTAATTGTTAGGGTTGTTTATTTCGGTTTATTGTTGATAAATTCTGCGTCGTGTATGCATGGCGTCGAAAAAGAAAGAATATTTTCTAGTGAAGTAAACCTGTAAAGCCCGGGGAAAAATAGGAAACACAGTGGCAGAACCACTTGAAAATTTCAATGTTATCTCGATTATTTCACCGTTTGCTCACCAAGGGAAACATTGTTATTGATTTTTAAAACATGGACCTACATGGCCAGGAAACAATGTTTTCCAGCTTTCCCAAGGCATAACAACGATAAAACCTCGTAACCTTAATAAGATCCTCTTTTTACCTTTTAAAAGATAATAAATCCATAATAACTGAAAGAAAATCTTCGACACTGTTCTCCTTCATTTCGTTACCGTTTCCTTTTTCACTGTAAGAAACAATGACATGAATTTACCATGTATGTATGCAGTACATCTCGTTGTGTAAATATAACAGCTTAGTTTTCTTGGATAACAAGTGCTTCAAAAAATGCTTTTTAAAGAAACGATGCTATACACCCGTGTACGTCGCCTTGGCCTTTACAGCCTCCTAAAGGTTTCTGATAGAGTCATAGAGAGCTTGCTCTTAGAACCTTTTATCTTGTACCTTTGATCTTACCATAGTATGATCAGTTTTATAATATAGCATTTGTAAATTCTGAACGTTGATTGGCTACGAACCGTGTTGATATAACTCAATGTCAACACGGAAAATTTCTTTCTTTATACCCTGCTTTATATTTCTTCAAAAACTCATTAATAATTCATGAGGAAAACACAAAGAAAAATCATAAGCGAGTCGTATCTTTATATGTGATAGAGATTTCCCTTGATTTACATAAACTTTAACTTTGATTTTCTCGACTTACACAACGTATTTTTTGAAAATTACTTCGCCAATAAACTTACTAGATCGATCGTTTTTGAAGCAATTTAATATCAGACCTAAAGATACTCGGCTTCGCCTCGTATCTTCTTTATATCTAATGAAACACTGCTGCTCATGTTTTAAATAGTACATAAAACATTTTCCCTATAGATATACAGTTATATCAACACTCGTGGAAATTGGGACACAATTTCTCGTTTTTCCAATTCCCACTCGTGTTGATATAACATATCAACACGGAAAATGTTTTATATTTGTTAAATTATATACAAAATAAAGAGCCTTCACAAGATAACATCACCAGTTTCAAGATAGTCAGTATCTCTATCACGAAAACAAAGCTAGGCTGGCACTTTCCGGAAGAGTGTATTCCACTTCTCAAACTTACTGAAATACACTTTAAGGAGGCTCCCTACAGTTTCCAATATATATCAGTGTTTCAAACTAAAAGCTATTTGAATCCAAAAAAACTAATTTTTTGGAACAAGCCATTGTTTCCTCTTTAGCTTTTCCAAAGGGCAAAGGTTAAAATGCAACCTTAAAGGCTGAAATTCAGTTTCTCGAAAACTACAATGGCGATTTTCAAATAACTTTCAAAAAAGATTCAAAACTTCTTAACAATGTATTTTCTGCAATAAAAAGGTATAGGTCACCGTGGTTATTTGTCCGCTAAGACAGCTTTTTTGGTTGATATAGACCATATAGATGGTGCATGACGTCATGGTAACGTGAAGAGTAGCGATTGTGGGTTAAAATTACTTTTTTACAAAAAATTAGTTTCTTTAGATTCAAATAGCTTTTAGTTTAAAACTCTGATATTATTGGAAACTTAATTCAACGAAATGGACGACCTAAATATTTTCTTTGTATACTGCACATTCTTGAAATATCGTAAGCGGATCACTTACCCATTCATCAATGGAACCAAGCAATGAGCATCAATAATAAACCGACATATCTTTATTAGGCCAAATTTTACTCCATTAAGAAAAGTTCTTTCTGTCTTCATCCTACGATATCGCTGGTCAAATACTGTCATCATTTCTTCATAAAAACCTGCAATTCGCTGAACAAACCCATCTTTAAAGAAATATTGGCATACGAATGGCAATATATGCAGGAATGATATCAATGTCTGTGTAATGTCGTGAAGATATACAATAAAATCATTTAAGGTAGCTAGTGGAAGTTCACTGTGTCGATCATCTCCAACTTTCACAGGATTGCTGTCTTCACGAGAAACTCCAAGCTCATCTTTAATTTTATCAAGTGTCTCACAAATGCTTGGAATTGTTTCACGCAAATCATCAATATATCTGCAAGAACAGACCAACTTAATCAACACATAATGTTTAAAACTTAATGCATGGAGCCACTGTGTTTAAGTAAAGCACCTTGCAATACTAAAGGTTGCGGCTGTATTATAGGACTAGGTACAGGAAGATCCCGTTAATAAGACACACTCTTTTAAACTTCAGCTATCACGTATAACTAGCTGTGTTTGAAACACCAATTATAAGTTGACGTCTCTGCCTGATCGGACCAGGGGGCAATAACAATATCTAATATGTTAAAGTTGAATAACAACGAACAACAAAATATCAAAATATACTCACTTTGGCTGCCTTTTAAAAACGTTTTCCAGCATTTTAGTTAAAAGACTATTATTCTTGCTGTTTTCGCCACCATACAGCGAACACAGATCCATTATTTTAGGAATATCAAACAAGAAATTTTCGTACAATATTTCACCAAATGTCTCTGGTGTAAAGAAGTCTTTCTAAATATAAGAAAAAAATCATGCTCTAGTTTACAATATGTCGGTATTCTTGTTCGTTTATTAAGGAACTTTGGAATAGATGAACTTTGGAATAGATGACCGTTCGTTTATTAAGGAACTTTGGAATAGATGACCGCATCGATCGATCAGACGTGTAATATATCGCTCCACATTATTCTTAAATTTTTTTGAGTTATTTGCTGGAATACTCTGTGGCATTGGCAAGTATTGTAATCGAAATGCAAGAACTACGGCTTTGCTGGACGGGTGATTTGGAGAAATTGAAGCTTTTTGTAAGCAAGAATGTTGATTTTGTCGGCGAATGGACTTCACCAGGCAATGATAAAAAAAAATACAGTGATGGTTATAGCTCAATATCCTGGCGCAAATCCAAGAAAGTGTTGGAAATAGAAGGCAGAGACAGGAACCTCATAACAGCTAAGTTGTGTACAATGTTATGTAATGATTTCGATCCTGTACAGTCAAGCAAAAGCGACAACTATTGCGGATTCCCTTCCACAAGCAATGAAATGCTTGTTGAATTGGAGGGCGTTAAACTCGATGTAAGAATTACTGAGAAAGATATTCGTGATAATAAACATAGCATTAAAAACGTGGAAGATTGCCTTGATAAAGTAGTTGGTAAATTAAACATTATTAACCAACAGTTTGATGTATTTAGGGCAGAGTTTCAGTTGTTGAAAAACCAACATACGATTCAATATTCGCCTAAAGCTGTCGAATATTCAAATTTGGACAATCAAAACGCCTCCGGATTGCAAAAACGTCATGAGGAAAACAATAACATAATAGGATCGAATCTGAATGACGACATTGTAATGAGTCGTAACGATGCATTACAATCTCTGGCAAATTTGCGGTCTGAGTGCCTTTCCAATGTTTGTTATGATACTCAATTAAAGCGTCTTGAAAGGGAACTGCATGATGAACAAGATAAAACCAAGCAACTTGAATCTGAGCTAACGGTTGCCGAAACAAAAATCGTACAACTCGAACAGGTACTAAACCTACACGAGTTAGAACAAAAGAGTAAAGAAACTGACAATGGGCTTTGTCATGATCATTCCTGCATTATTTTGGAGACACTCAGCACTAATTGCATTAGAAATCAACACGCGCCTCCGACTCAAGAGAATACCTGTACTAATAAATATATTACATCTCAAGAATTACCACCTAACCCTCGAATACCACCAAAACAAGTTGATAAGCAGGAGCCTCAAAAACATGCTGGTCAAGTAAGTCAATTCCCAAAACATACGGAAATTTCGGACATAACTAACTGTTATGCCATCCCGACTCGCGTTACCCATAGAACACCATCAAAGAAATCGACGTGGCGACGAAATAAACATGGCGCTAGAATCAACCAGACTGAGGAGGGTTTTCGCAAGGACAAATGGAAAGCCAATATGAGGTTTTTCCAGTATTATTACTAGAACATGATTTTTCCCTATCAGGTCGCCCTACTTCAATTCATCGCGGACAACGTAATTTAAACAATATTATCCAAATTAACATTAATAAAACTGTTATTTCCAATGCTAATGACTATTTCTACGTTCCGAAACTAT